GCTCTGGATCACCACGATATTGAACCGGGTGGTTAGCTATTTGCTACAATATGAAATTACTACGTTATCAAGCAGCTGAGTTTAGAGTAGTCCCTATATAAATGCATCGCTCCTTTACGGTCACCCACTATGCTGAAAGAATGCTAGGCAGTTCCGTAGCTATCAGGCTACCCGAAGCGAAGGACTAACCAGAAGCTGTACATCTAGATCATAACACATTTGTATACGTTCCTCCTCAGGTAGACTGATAGCTTAGGTATTTCCCGATGTTCCGTTTCGGATGATGTCCCTTCAGTTTACTGTATTTATAATCGACAGACCATTCAACATTGAGACGTTTAAGAAGCGAATCAGTTCGTATTCAGGCAGAGAAACTCAATGCTCTCTTCCGTAGTGATGAGTTAAAGTTGAGATGCTATCACAGTCTTCATGAGAAGTTTTAGACTAAGGTCATGAATGACCTAATTCTGTGACTCACCCTTACTGCTGCTGTTGTTGACATTTTTCAGTGTTTTCTTTATAAAATAGCTTTTTGCCGGCCTCATGAATCCAACCCCGAATTGGCGTATTGGTAACGGAATTCTTCGACAATAAAACCTTTGTCATCAGTTTTATTTCGTCGCTGAACTACGGATAATTAAATCCGTTGTAGTATGAAACTTATCATTTTGTTAAATTGCATTTGACCCATGTCATTGCTTCTGTTAAGTTGTAGTTTGTACCCATTAATCTAATTGCATAGTTGGTGTTGTTTTCGAATCTGTATGTTTATGTTTATAAAAAACAAAGAAAATTAATTATATTGAAACCACGCGCTTTAGTGTCGCAGTTTATATAACTGCATCAAGAGTTCGATGGAGAAGGCAGCTGCAAGGGGCAAGATGGCCTTACCAGGTAAGTGACCTTTGTTCAGACTCGAGATAACTTTTGTTAGACTTCGACTTAACTTTAGGTAAAGAACTTGACGGCGAATTTCCGATTCAGGACATCGAGACAAATCAAGGCGGTCTTCTGCAAGTTCGCATCGATGGCATCACGTTGATATTCGCCGATTCAAAGGTTGGTGGTTTTTCTGCATGCATTGTTTCGGTTCTTTTATTCCACAGTTTCTCTAATTCTTCTGTTGAATCATGTTTGTGAAAGAACACTATACATTTAACGCTTCCAAAATCTCAGCATCGGATAACTTTGAACACAGAGATGCGATTCAGAGCAACTGACTCTGTATGAGTACATTAAGTTATTACATTCTTGTTATTGTTAAATTTCTGAGTTTCGAAAATTTGCATTTTTATTTTATGATTGAGAAGTCACAATTGCGATGATTTGGGCATGTATTGCAAATACCTCCAAAAAGGAGCCGAAGCCACTGTTTCTTGCCCAACGACCGGCAGAATGCCCAGGGGACGGCCAAGATTTATCTGGTGCAAATATATGGCGTGAGTTTGCTATAGTCTACAGTTATCTTCTGTCGAAGCTCAGATTCTGGCACAGGATCGGTACGTTGGAAGCTCTGCCGGACAGTTCTGTCTCAGCGACCTGAAAAAATACCTGATTGATACTACAATTGCACTATGTGAGGACTACATGACGGCCTTTAAGCCGGCTAATGATACTGCCACAGTGTCACTATTTTTAGTAGCACACATCTCACATCCACAGATACATGACATTAAATGGAGTGGTTAAAATCAACCAAGTTTTTTCATCTCTGCAGAGGTCCTTTGGTCTGCAGTTTTTAGATGACGATGCACCGAATATGATGTAAAGTCAGCCATCTGATATTTGTTTTGTGTGTCACGCAACCATGTCGACATTAACGAATTATTTCCCACACTTTGTCCTTCAGGTTATCTTATAAAATCATTGATTAAAAATATATGGTTAATAGGTTGTATACCGAGGTTGTCTTTTAAAGTAGGCCACCATATGCCGTCTCATGGACATAGTTATGTTGTATGTCTGTTATGAAATAGATTCGTAATATCTGTTATTCTGTCGTTCCTACCTCCGTATTTCTTGATCTTGATGACGGGTAGGTCGCCATGGAGAGGATGACTCGGCAACAGCTGTCCACTGACGTATAACATGAATGAAATGTTGGATGCAAATATCTGCATATTATGTAGATCGAAACTTCCGTGTATTTTACCATATAATAAGTTATTGATATGTTAGCAACGGCGTTGAACTTTTTGTAGTTTTGTTGCATGAAATATGAGTTATGCTATGCCTCCTTTGCTGTGGCTTGCTTGTTTTGTTGTTAAAATTTTGCATTTTGTTTATTCTATTTTTCTTTTTCTCGTTTCAGTTTTTCATCGATCTCACTGATATCAAGAAGTGCAACACATATGGCGGGAACGTCTTCGTGCTTGAAGAGTACGGTAGGCAGAAATAGCGCTAAATGTTATGTCCTGGTCAGTTTTATTGACTGTAGATTTTTAGACAGGAAAAACGACTGTATTGTCCAGCACAAATTCCTTTCGTTCATGGTAAGTGCTAGGTGTTTGTACTGCCGCGCGTTTCACGTTGAATGGTGAGTTTAAAGTGTAAACCGTCTGTTTACATTTCTAGCGGTCTTCATGACATACTTCCAAGGTCTGTAGTTAGTCTGTTATTCGATATCCTATCATACGTGATATTCGTTCCATTTCTGTATTTCTCTTTATGTCTGTAACGTAATTGTATAGTTTGTGCATATATGTGTCTGTATGCATTGGATATTCTACGGCCTTTGTCCGCGTATAATTTTTTACTGTTGAAATATCAAGTGATAAGACTCGGTGTAGGAAAGCTCGAATTCTTTTCACTGCTGCGTCATATGGGGAAAGATATATGATACCGGTGGGGGCAGACGCACGATTTCTTATTTCATAGTTTGCAGTGTCCCTCACAAAAACAAAATGTTTATTTAATGCATTTCTTTATTACTTCCAGAAATGAAGACGAAACAGCACAGGCAGATTTTCTTTTGCCCAAACTCAGACGCCAACACAGAGTCAGGATAGCAGCAGACACTGACTATGCTTCCTTCTGGACCCGAAGACATAAGCGACCATCGAAACTGACCGACACTAATTGGCACTAATCTAACATGTCGCTACACATCGTTGAGGGGATATTCGTCATCATAGGAAAACAGAAAAAATAGTTACGTTTTTTCTGTTCTCTGATGATGATCAGTGCCAGTTTAGTCGAAGCGTCGAATTTGTGTTAAATAAATCAGTGTGATTCTTGTCTTTGCTGCTAGTAGCCATTGATTCAGAGGAGGACGAATCCGCTGCCTTGTTCTGTAAATCTTGCTTAATTTGGTGGTCAGGGAATTCAAGTGAGTGAATTATTTTGTTGGATGAAAGTAAATATAAAACTATAATAATTTCAGTTAAAACGCAGACTAACCTTATAATATACCTGCTTAATGGCGACAACGACTTATCATTTTCTTGTAAACTCTTGTAGCTTTATTTGATTGCTGCACTGATCTTACTCCTTTAACTGCGGTTATGATTTGCTTCATTTCTGCGATTTTTATGCGTTCTTCCTTTT